AGATCATGTGACACTAAAGACTGGAGTAATGATGCTAAAAATAGTAATAATATTTCACAATATTACTGTATTTTTGGTCAAATAAATGCATACTTGGTGAGCATAAAATACGTATTTCAAAAACATCTTACTGACCCCAAACTTTTGAATAGTGGTGTATATAATATTTAAATACGTAATAATGCTTTAAATATATTTTATATAATTTCATATATTAAAATAAAAATATATATGAATATTACATTTATATTATAAATAAAATTATGATGTATAATACTTATATTGAATGTATACAACTTATGTTATCAGTGTAATGAGTGATAAGGATTAAAAAAATGATCATACATTTCAGAATGCCTTAATATTTGTTTTGTCTCCATTTTGCTTTAATGACAGCAGTGCGGCTGAAGCTGCATGAACTGAGTGAAACCTGATGATCATGTTCTCCAGCATAATTTGAAAAGTATCCAAAGAGCATCTTGTGCTTCATGGAAACAAGAACATCTGACCATCTGTACAAAAGGATTTGACATGCTCAATTCTACAAATTTGCTTATTTGATTAGGGACCCACAAATAGTGCAAAAGCATCATAACACGTCGTTCCTTGTTTTACATTGTTCAAAAACTAAACATTGCTTATTTCCAGGATTTTTTTCAGATTTATAAAATCTCAGACTTCCAGACACCAATCTACATGCTCGACTCCAAGGGATCATGCACTCTCCCAATAGTAAGTGTCCCTGTGTGTCTATGATCTGGCCAGCCATGCCGTCCTCATGCATTCTTTATTTGGATCGTAGCACCTCCTATTCCCTCTGCACTTGAATGGCTTCTGAACATTCCTGCCTGAACATCCATCCCGCTCCCCTTACACTGAGCTATTTCTGGGTGCATTTCACCACAGGGCCTGCAACATGCCCTGCTATTCGAGCTCAAACCTGTGAGCCATTTCTGCCATCATGACATGACTAAAAACAAGCAGCTGAATCTTAAAAATGTGTTTGTTTGTGCGAGTATTTGGTTAGAAATGTCAACTGGATGATGGAATGCACAAGCACAGAATTCGATATGAGCAGTGTAATGAAAGACTCCTTACCATCTGCCTCTTATTCTCTATCAAATGAGCGCCAATGATTCCCAGAAAGGACCCGAAGCCGAGCTGAAAATATCACAGGGTGAAACTCAAGTCATGAGAGTTGCAACTCTATATAAAATATCAACCTATTTCAAAGTCTTAAAAGTAGACGACCTCACTTCATTATGATCCCACATACAATCTCCCATTCCCACAAAGTCTTTTGTCTTTCTACAAGCAGTATAGTTTATTTTATGGTGAGGTCAACATCCGAGTTAAGAGCTATATATATGAAATCTGGCCATGTCCCCAACATATAGTATTTCAAAACAGTCAATCCCTGCGGAATACTAGGAAAACACCTGTTACTTCTACAAAACGTTCTGGACTGTTACTTAAGCTTGTATGTTTTCTCCTAGAGTGTTGAACAAAATGATACTTGCTGTTGAATAATAAATGGATGAGTTCACTCAGTTCAACCTTACAGTAATGAGGTAATGGCCACCGGTCACCATAATGGCAGGCCAAGCGGAAAATAATTAAACATGAGGCCTTTCCTTCCCTGCAGTACTTTACATCACAAACCCATTTATAGAACAAGAGGATAGTTTGCAGTCTGTTCTACGCACGACTATGAACATTAGTAGCATACTTACAATGACTCCTGGATAGTAGCCACCAACAGTGATGTTTTGCGTCCTGGTAGTAGCGGCTAGACCAAAGAGCAGGATGAGTATGGAGACGACAAGGAGCATCACTGTTACTATGATGGACTTTCTTTTCCTCCTCTTAAATGATCCTGGAAAAGACAACGGAGTAGGAAGAAGCCACGGCACAACACGCCCTTCCTTTGGGCAGCATTTGGTTACTCCTTCTTACATTTGAAGCACGTTCGTTTTGGGGTGAAGGCAGCAAAGCAAAACAACCAGTGTATTTGACCTCTTGTATGTGTATAGTATCTACAACCGCAAAGGCACTGCCACAACACAGAAACCCAGAAAGACGTAGGTGATGTAATATGATGGGTTTCTATCATCAACCAAAACATGTTTAAACTATTATAACCGCATAAAAACAAAATTTCACTTACGGTTGTGTATTTTTTATTAACAATATCAAACAGTGCTACATCGACATTCGTTGGGGGCATCCGAGACATGCAGGAATGTAGGTTACGGGAAGCTTATTTTTCTCTCGTGCTAATATATTCTAATAATTAGGATGAATAAACGTTGCTAATCGCATTTAAATGTAAATACAAGCGTAAATTGTCCTCCGTTTTACCGTAATGGTCTGCGGGCGCAGTGAATGCCATTGACCTTGCACTTACCCATCGCATCTGAGATAGGAATACCGCTGCCTTGCGCATTCAGCCCCGCTGGCATTGTAACGTCAGGATATGCAGCATTAGCTGCAGTTATGACTTCAAGTCAAAAACAAAGAACCTAGTCAATAAGACAACGATGCCTTTCCTCAGAGCCCATGGATGGAAACTCTTTTCCTGCCGTGGCATTCTCTGACACCATGCGTCCCCCGTGTAGCCGCGCTTCTCTCATCAGCATCTGGGTCTGTTGTTCATGAGTCCGCTGCCATCATCCCTTCAGCAGAACGCCGCACGGAGCACAGCACTGCGCATGCGCAAGGCAGAACCGCTCGCTGTGGGTCAGGATTGGAACAGTGAGTCATTGCGATTAGGTTCTTTCGAGCAGTCCGTTTCAGAAGAAACCTATCTGTTCAAAAATAGATTCAGAGGTTGTCCCTGAATGCATGTAACACGCTTTAAACGTTCAAGTGAAGTCATGTGCAATTCGTGCATGTCACAAATTGCTGTTTATTACTTAAGGGTGTTTGTAATTTCATGCTTCCTTCCAATCAGTTTGCAGCCGTGATTCAGTTTATAAAAACTAAAGTCATTTAGAACTTAAATAGAGTTCCAAAGAACGACTAAAATCATAAAGGTTATTGTATGCAGTTGCTGGACTGCATAGCAAATTTCTAAACAATTCTACATATATTCACGACGTTTTATAGAGAAATTCGCGTTTCGCAGATTATTTTACCTGCTACATTTACACACAGAAATTAGTCTGAGAATATCTAAAGAAAAAGTAACAATTTGGTTGGTTAACACGAAAATACTTTAAGAACATTCAATATAATCTATAAAATAATACTTTTGTGTAATTTTTCTACAAAAATGGCTATTTTGAAAGTCTCAGAACTAGAAGCAATATTAAAGGGGTCATATGATGCGATTTCAATTTTTCCTTTCTCTTCGGAGTGTTACAAGCTCTTGGTGCATAAAGAAGATCTGTCTCCTTCGTCTAATCCGCCGCCTCTAGCCCTCCGGCCGTTCCTAACGCTAGCCCCCGGCTTCTGCTCACTCAAGGCCACCGTGTGTGACACTGTGTTACGTTGTGAAAGCGAAACTACTTTGTTTGGCCTTCCAAAAATGGACATGACTAGAAATCAGTTTTGATAAGTTGTATTTACAACTGTGCAGCACATTTTATGGAGGACCTTTCCTGATCCTGGGAGAGTAGACTACAATGCCGGCTGTTCTGACTCAAAGACTGTAAGTACGTTTTTTATATTTAAAGAGTTTTTATATTTTATATATTTAAAGCGAGTTTTTTGGGCAGTGTAGAGCAGGGCTTGTTGTTTGTCATTTCTCCGATCACAAATGCAGACATGGTTTTATGTTAGCATCATATGACCCCTTAAAAGTAATGAAAGTGTGCCATCATCAGGTAGTTGGTGAATATAAACACAAAAGGTTTGAAAATAAAAATCAGTCTCTGAGTTTAAAAAAAGTTCTTAAAGCCCCCCCCCCATCTTTTTAACTTGCATTTTTGTTTATTTTATGGTTCGCTCGTGCAGCTTCAGATCTAATTGACATACACCAGGCTCCTCATGTATAGCACACCCATTATATTGATGTATCTCTTTCTTAGTCTCTCTCTCTCTCTTGCTCACACACACACACACACACATAAATAAATGAAAGTATATATCATGTGTTGCAGAGTTCAAAATGTGTGTGCAGTTAAAGGCATAGTTTGAGTCCTACTTAGTTTTATGGTAATACATTATGTAATTGCTGCTCCCACAGCAACATAGGCCTATTTCATAAAGGCTGGTTGTATTTAAGTAAATGTAACTGAATAGAAGTTAATGGATTTTTATATCGCCTTTAATTTTTTACCAAAACGAGCATTCACTAGGCTACTACTTAAGTGTTTGCTTGTTTGTGTAAAAATTGAAGGAAATAAAACGCTACATTGAATATATTGATCTCTATTCCTCCAGCCCAGTCTTGTCACAAAGTAAAAATGACTGCATCTGCTCGTTTCAGTCCTTGATGGTCTTTCTTTGAATGACCTGCTCTTCACCAAAGAAAGCAGAAAGAACCAGACAAGACCGAATTTTCCATGACGCGATTTCTTTTCAGGTTTAAAAAAATCAGCGGGTTCACGGAGCTCAACGTGATCTGTGTACAAATATTAAGCTTGATGTCAACTTTGTGAATTTATTACGCTTTTGACGCCAACGCAGACCAAAGCTGGCACATATTTCACCATTTTGCGTTTGTCTCTTTAATGCATCATGTAATGCGCGTGAATACTCTCTCCAGTTTAACAGCCCAGCGAGTCAATGGGGATTGTTTAGTGACGGGTCCTGCATACTAAACCTCACTGTTCTAATGTGGTTGCTGATGCCGTACTTAGTGATTGACAACGGCAAATGTAGATCAGAACAGAAACTTATAAAGCTGTGGGTCTTTGCATAGAGCTTGTTTCAGCAGACAATGAGACTATGTGGTGTGCGTGTGCAGAATTCCACACAACACTAAACGAAGCTGCTGCCAAAAAAAACTCCGCTTTGTATCCCACCCCCACTTTCCCTCTCCAGCTCAACTCCATTCACTATGATGCTCGACTCCTAGCGAGAAGCTCCTCCGCGTCCGACATCCGCTGTAAGGAGAAAACTCAATGAAATTCAAGAACAATTCTTGACCAGAATTAACGTTTGTGCAGCCAGCGTGAAGTGAACCTGAAGACATCGCCTCAGTGCATTCATCAAGACTTTATTTTGGGGGGCACTTTAAATATAAAAGTTTTTTCCTAAGGCTCCCCCCTCCCCATTTTTCTTTACAGAAGACATCGAAATATTCTCTCATCTTCTTCATAATTTAAAAAAAGGCATAAAAAAAGTCTGAACAATTATTTCACACAGTATTTGACTTTCCTGGACTGCTGCAGACTTTATTCCTGGACTGAAATCTCGCAGTAAATCGCCTGGACCGCTCGTATATGTGATTGGTTTAACAAGTACCTTTATTCTTCAGTGAGAGATCATGGAGCGCGACTCTACCGCGGGAGGGGCGGAGGACCTGCTCCTGGAAGACACAGTTTCAAAACTGGCAAGTGACCATAACCATAATGCACCAGAGTTATGTGGTTACTTTTGATTAGGGCATTGTAATGACCATACCTCGCTGGATTTAGTGCTCGGTACAATATATAATAGTAAACTATATAATAGTAGGGTAGGCTATTACCCAATTGTTGGTGTAGTATCAATTTTTAAATTCATTACTGGTACAGTAAAACTGTGTCACCCAAGTTTTTCACCTGCTCATCATTATTTAGGTCAATTAATATGGACAATTATCCATTAATATACTTAATATATTACATTAGGCCTATTGCTATATTGTAGCTAGTAAATGCATTTGAAAATTCCTCTGGTATCTTCAGGAGCTTTTTCTACCTGAGCTGGTTGTTAAAAATGTCTTTTATTGATGTAAGCAGGTTGAATCGGTCATATTAAATAACAAATATGACAGGTAAATAATAAATATTAAGTCAATTTCCTGTCAAAAAATAGTTTTATGGCAACATATTACATTAAGATTGAATTAACATTATTTAATGCATTAGGTATCACGAACAATTTATATTTCATGCTCATTCACAATACAGTAGTAAATGTTTATGAAACTTGAAATGTTTCTGGATGCATTACCCCAAACCCCCTCGCCAATATACAGATTAGTGGTCACCCACTTTCCCTCTCCAGCTCAACTCCATTCACTATGATGCTCGACTCCTAGCGAGAAGCTCCTCTGCGTCCGACATCCGCTGTAAGGAGAAAACTCAATGAAATTCAAGAACAATTCTTGACCATAATTAACGTTTGTGCAGCCAGCGTGAAGTGAACCTGAAGACATCGCCTCAGTGCATTCATCAAGACTTTATTTTGGGGGGCACTTTAAATATAAAAGTTTTTTCCTAAGGCTCCCCCCTCCCCATTTTTCTTTACAGAAGACATCGAAATATTCTCTCATCTTCTTCATAATTTAAAAAAAGGCATAAAAAAAGTCTGAACAATTATTTCACACAGTATTTGACTTTCCTGGACTGCTGCAGACTTTATTCCTGGACTGAAATCTCGCAGTAAATCGCCTGGACCGCTCGTATATGTGATTGGTTTAACAAGTACCTTTATTCTTCAGTGAGAGATCATGGAGCGCGACTCTACCGCGGGAGGGGCGGAGGACCTGCTCCTGGAAGACACAGTTTCAAAACTGGCAAGTGACCATAACCATAATGCACCAGAGTTATGTGGTTACTTTTGATTAGGGCATTGTAATGACCATACCTCGCTGGATTTAGTGCTCGGTACAATATATAATAGTAAACTATATAATAGTAGGGTAGGCTATTACCCAATTGTTGGTGTAGTATCAATTTTTAAATTCATTACTGGTACAGTAAAACTGTGTCACCCAAGTTTTTCACCTGCTCATCATTATTTAGGTCAATTAATATGGACAATTATCCATTAATATACTTAATATATTACATTAGGCCTATTGCTATATTGTAGCTAGTAAATGCATTTGAAAATTCCTCTGGTATCTTCAGGAGCTTTTTCTACCTGAGCTGGTTGTTAAAAATGTCTTTTATTGATGTAAGCAGGTTGAATCGGTCATATTAAATAACAAATATGACAGGTAAATAATAAATATTAAGTCAATTTCCTGTCAAAAAATAGTTTTATGGCAACATATTACATTAAGATTGAATTAACATTATTTAATGCATTAGGTATCACGAACAATTTATATTTCATGCTCATTCACAATACAGTAGTAAATGTTTATGAAACTTGAAATGTTTCTATATAGAAATTAACATTAACCTGGATTAAATATTCTTTTTCATTGTTAGTTAATGATTGCATCAACTCATGCTAACATACTGAACCCTCATTGTTTCAAGCTTTACAGTTTTTAAAAGCACAATTTATGTGTGTCTTGACATTGAGAATGAGTGTGTAACATCTGGCTGAAGAGTGACCCTGCAGATCTTGTGCAGCTGTGAGAGGTTAGATCTCCCAACATGGGTCAGCGAGTGTGTGGGTCCTCTTCTGCCGCTCTTAGATCAATGGGATTGTGAAGCGTCTTTCATTCACACTGCTTTCATGCACTCGCTTTTCACTTTTTTGAAGAGAAATATTTGTCTAACCCTTCTCCTAACCTTTCCTTTGTCTTTAAGAGACAATACCATCTACATTAAAGTGAGTTTTTAAGTGGTCTTTTTTTTACTTATGTGATTCAGAACGTACTTATTTATTAACTTTCCATGTTGTCTTTAGCGTGCAGGATCACTTCACAAACACGAACTAGCTGAGGCCATGGAAGTGGAACAAGAAGGACTGGTAGAACATCAGCCTCTGGAGCAGGATGACCTTAACTTTGAGAAATGGAAGCCCAAGCCAAAGCCCAAGAGGACGCTGCATGAGAAAATCGACGACTTAAAGACTTACCTGTGGAACGCAGAGACTAAGGAGTTTATGGGCCGCTCGGGGAAGAGCTGGAGTGAGTAACAAGACAAAATTATTTTGAATGTACACAACAAGATACCCGTTTCAATGGCAAAACAAAGGGCGTTTGTCTGTGGGTGAGGGAGTGCATCCAAATTGTACTTGGACTGTAAACTAAGTCTTTAATTAGTGATGTTTAGTCTCGCCGTAGAAGCAAAGGCAAGTGAGACTATTGCTTATTGTTTTTGCTCATTATTTTCCATTTTTAGTGGAGTTATGGGAACGAGTTGCGGGGATGAGGGGTGATGAACTGTGCTTCTGCTCGCTCAAGTGTGTGTGCATGTACACTCTGTCACTGTGGGTGCATGTGTGTGTGTGTGTGTGCATGTCCAAACTTAGTGTTTAGATAGGTGCACAGATAGCTTAGAGACATCTTGACAAAAACAGACTGCCTGGGGAATGGTCCTCAGTGGGAGAGCGAATGTCACAGTCCCTTCGCTGGCCCGGGATCACATTCCATTTACCCCTACCGTGCTTTCCTCTCCCTCTTTCCCAAAGCCCCCTTGACCTCCAGATCTCCTCCAACACGCTCTCAGATCTACGGCACAGCTTAACATGTAGCCTTTTTTTGTCCGAGCTCAGAACTTTTTTGGCAGCGAGCATTTCCTGAAGACGTCCGACGCGGACAGAGCAGCCAATCGCTGCCGCTAAACATTCTGATGCTAAGCAACACAGCAAATTCGGGACGAGTGCTCTAAACAGCAATATGAAGGTTTCCTGGGGATACAGAGGGAAATCTCAACGCACCAATATCCCGTGTTGAGCGTTTGTCGTAATGCAACATCTCTATGCTTTACATGGGCATGATATGATGGGGATTGTGCTGGAGGTGGATTAAATAAACAGCCGTAGTCTTCCTTAGCGCAGGGGAGGGGCTGCTGGAGGGCTGTGATGTATGTCCCATGAAAGGAGAGTGCAGAGGCCCCACAATGCCAGAATGGGGTGATCGGGCTCCTTGGAGCTGGCCGTGGCTCTGTATGGCTGCAAAAGACCGTTACTGTGATGGCAACCGGAGGTTCACTGTGTTCCTGAGTGAAAGGAAAGCTGGGAGAATTTTCACCAGGCTCAAACAGAAAGGCCTTTGTGGCTGGGGGACACAAGACGGGCTGCAGCTAGTCCCTGCGAAATTGTCTGCGCAGCAAAAGCCGTTTAGTTTGACGACACGTTCCATTTGATCAGCTGCTAATGAACTCTTAATTGAAAGTTGTTGCACTCCGGTTTTTGCTGGGTCTCATTTGATAAGTTTCATTGACTTTAGTGTTTTGAACACTTTCACAATGGAAAGTTTATTGTGAATGAATGATTAATATAAGGTTTAGTATTTGAATGGCCAACTAAATCAATAATACATACATAAGAAATAAATTCCTATATGAAAAACGGTATCAACCTGATGGTGTGCGCATTTCAATTGACTAACTCCTTATGTAAATCAGTGATTTACAAGAGGTTTCATCAATGCAATCCTGCTTTACTCATCAATATTTTCTTATCTTTTGCAGGCCTTATTCTGCTCTTCTACTCAGCATTATACATTTTCCTTGCGGCTATGTTTGCTGGTTGTATGTGCTGCCTGATGTGGTCAATTAGTCCATATGCTCCCACCTACAATGACAGAGTGATGCCACCAGGTTGGGAAAAAATGGCATTTTACTTTGTGAATATTCAGAGAGTATGGAAAAAAAGCTGAATAATTATTGTGTAAATCTTTTTAAAATTGTATTTATTTTTCATATAAATTAATCTAAAATGTATTATTTAAAATCCCGCAACCCTAAGGGAAGATAAGCGGTTTGGAGAATGGATGGATGATTTAAAATTACAATAGTAAATAATAAAAAAATTAATATTATTATAAAAAAAATAAAAAAAATCTTTTTTCATTTAAAAATAAAATGAATTAAAATAAGTATATAAAATAATATATAATTATTATAAAATAAATACTATATAAGTATATAAAACACAATTCTAATATAACACTGTTATTCCTGTTTTTTCACTACACTTCAAAATCTTGTCTTTCTCCCGGCAGGTATGACAATGTTTCCTCATGTAGATGTAGCTCATGGGTTTGACGTTGCTTTCAACGCCTCTGACCGAAGCTCGTGGAGGAAGTATGCGAAAGCACTGGAAGCCCATCTGAAATGTAAGTCCTGGATGAGAGAACAACTGAGCTTATTGAGTTTGGTCTTACACTCTTTAATAGGGAAGATACGTTTTTTTTGTTCAGCGGGCACAGATTCAAATCACTCCAACACACTGTTTTACAAGTCCTGCGGTCTATAGAAATACTGACAAGGAGGGAAACCCTTTTGTGCGCTCAGTGTAACTGCTCAGGGCTGCCAGGGCCCCACTTTTTGTGCTCGCCTGTAAGTTGTAGAGGCCAGGCTGGGCAACAGCCATTGTTTGGTTATTTTATGGTCCCTCTCTCTCTCTTTTCTCTCTTCCATCTCTTTTATTACGGTTTCCCGCCGTGGCTGCGTTCAGCCTATGACGACGGAGTGCAGGATAGGCGGAACATTAACTGCGAAGGAAATACATATTTCATGCAAGATGACTTAGAGGAGAGTGCCGAGCGCAAGGCATGTCAGTTTAAGAGGTCCTGGCTGGGTGAATGCTCCGGCATGAAGGACAAAGATTTTGGCTACTCAAAGGGAAAACCCTGCATCCTCGTCAAAATGAATCGGGTGAGATTATAATATAATATACAAGTGAAGAATTAGGATGCAAAAGCCTCTAAGTTCTGTCTGAAATTGTCTTCTAAAATTAGTATTTTTCTCAGGCTCCTATGTTTATGTTCAGTTATTTCACTTTAATGGCAATGAAAAAAAAAAACCTATTCATTGGTCATTAAAGTGAAATTACTGAACCTACACATAGGAGCCTGAGAAAAATGCTCATTTTAGAAGAAAATGTAAAATGGCACTTAGAGGCTTTTGCAGCTGAACTCTTCAAATATTCTTTGTTTGAAGAACAAAACCGCTCCAAAAAAATAAAGCTCTGACGCTCTTGTGCCATCTTGTGGTTAAAATAAGCAATGACTAAATGAACAAATTTAAATTAAATTTTTAGTAATATGTCAGACACTTGACTGTTTTCTGTTGTGACAGATTCTCGGGTATCTGCCTGGTCAAGGCACTCCAATACATGTTACATGTGGAGTTAAGGTAACAATTAATGACTAGTAACAAAATAAAATAACTACACAATATAACAACCCAGTTTCTTTGCAGTATTTGTCATTTTGGATTTCTCCAATGTTTTTCCAGAAAGGGTCAACTGAAGGCCTCGAAGAAGTCCAGTTTTTTCCAGAAAATATCTTCAACTTGCGGTACTATCCCTATTATGGGAAACTGAGACATGTGAGTGATCCTACTTAACATTTATCCCAGAATTCCTCATGAATTAATATAATTTCATAGCATTTCTCACTATTTCCACCAACAGGTAAACTACTCTTCCCCGCTGGTGGCTGTGCACTTTCCCAGTGTCCCGTATGACACCCAGCTACACATTCAATGCAAACTAAACGGCAAGGGCATCATCAACGATTCACCCACCGACCGTTTCCTGGGTAGCGTGTCTTTCACTTTACAAGTGGGCGCGTAGGGTGGCAGTAGACCTAGAGAAATTGAAATTAAAATTCTCAGAGTATGTTATAATAAATGAAATAGCACACTGGGTGTTGTCTTTACCCATTAGCCCTCTGATTATGCCTCCGGCAGCCACTGTGCTATTCGCGTCAGAGCTGTGTTACTACACTACTTTTTCAAACAAGGAATTTCCCAGTAAGCAAAGACTGAGATTCATAGATCACATTTATAGATCAGCGGATAGAGACCGACACCTGCCTGGATTTCATTATAGGATAAAATGAAATAGGAAAAGATGTCCAAATACAGTATGTAGGTCGCAATTATAGCTATTGAGGCATAATCACTCAAACGTACGGTCTACAGTGAGATGTAGGCAAAACAATTCTCTAGATCCGTGTAGATTGTAGAATTAACATTTATTAAACCTTTTTGATCAGTTTGCTAAGTCAGATATTTTTTTAATGATTTCTCTCTGTTAAGTCAGTCTCCTTTAAATTCCCCCTCTGGATGAAGAAAAAGGCAGAAAACTGCTTAACATTATCCTTTTGCTTGCTCATTTAATTAAATAACAATCAGATGTGGTTTAGAATTAATAATCGATTGTACATTTTTGAACTAAATTTTTCTTTCCTTTTGGATGTGCAACTAAATTTTTAATTCAGAGGCAAATGTATTTTACTGAAATGCGGGACAGAAATCCCATTTCATCATTTTCACAAAGCTTCATAATGAAATACGAGTTGATCTTTCTTTTGTCAATCATGCAACCAACACTTCTTAAAAACTAAATAGAGAGTCACAGAATTCATCTGAGTGAAACTATCTGCTCAATTGCCTGCAAGGAGGATTTCAACAGTATTATTTATTAATTGTATATGAATATATTGACATGGTACAAACAGTTACAAAGTGTAATAGTGAGATGGAAATTGGTAACTGCACATCTTTGTTATTCAGTAAATGCATCGAAATATCCACTGGCTGACAAAGATTTGCCAGCTCATGTTTTTCAACGCACTCATGTTTTAGCATAAACAATAAAGATGAATGAGAATTAACGGAATCAAACCTTTCTGCTCACTTTCCCATTCTCTTGAAAAGCAACAAATCAGTTGTGATATGCATGAGATTGTCTACAATGATAAACTGCTTGAGATGGTCACTTAGAATAAATGACAAAATGTAACTTCAACCTTTTGAACGAAAAACCATGACTAAATTCAAACTCAAATGCAGTTATGTGCATTCAGTAATAGGCAGATCTTACTGTAATATGCAGGCCCAAGTAAGATGCTTTTAGTATTCCAGTAACAGATGCAGCAGTAACATTTATAGCAACACTGATGATCTAAGTCAATCAATGGAAGCTAGAGGTTATGACTGTGATAGTCATGTGAATCGTGTAAAACTAGTTGCTTAACACCTCAGGCCTAACATATGAAATCAACATGTTCTGCTGAAATTCTTAAACCGAGATTAGAGTGAGAGGACAAAAAGAGAGGACGACTACTGTACAAAAAAAAAGCCATTTTATTGAAATTTTTTTTTCCACTTTGAAACATGAACCAACATTCCTAACCTGACAGATTAAGGTCCTACAGAGAAGGAACAAAGAAATGTAACTAAAAGGCACACTATAGTACAACAATGATATTTTCTTTGTTTGTGTGTTTGTTTTAATAGCTAAATCCGGGGGGGTGGGTGGGGGGGAAGAACTATGAAAAACAAAATGGTATACAAATGAATTGGTTTGGACACATTAGTATCGTCACTATGCAGAGCAGACTGAAAATACACAGGAACTTGTAGCTTTGGTCTTAGAAAAGGTGGATTTTGTACATTGTATGCATGTGTCCAGAGAAATGACAAACTAAAATCAACAAACCCATGTACTAACAAGCCTATAGTAACACTTCCAACATTCCCTGAGAGGGACCTAATGAAATCAACAAAAGCATGATCAACAAAATCTTGATATTCGAAGCTGGTAAATGTCACAAAAAATAGTGTCCCTTTATAATACAATGTTCCAAGTGCAATAGTGTGACTTATTAGCTCGGCTGATTAAGAAAATACGCCAGGATACTTTTCACCCCTAATTTCGGCAACAACTGATCCACGAGAGTACAATTACAGAACTAATTGAGCATTTACATTCAATGGTTAATAAACTCGAAAGACTCCTAATTCTAAAATTGCATCACTCATTCAGAACAAGAGTTCACATGAATATAAGTCACAGCAACCAGAACCGAGCATCCTTAGAGCAAGAAAAAACTAAACTCCCATAAGAGGAATAAATTTTTTTCCCCCATGCATTTAACATACAGCGCAATGCCAGTGGATTTTAGACAGCCTGTGCTTACACTAAACAAGTGAATCATGCCGATTGACATTGCTTCAAGTGTAATTAAGCAGAAATATACCACTTCATTCATAAAACATTTAAATCGTATACAGGAAATGATTAGAGCTCAAGAGATATAATTATGTAGTAATGGTATAATTATGCAATCGAACGTGTTAGAAATAGGGGTGTCATCAGCAGTTAGCGCTGCCAGGTGAGGAGGGTCGAGCAGTTTGCAGGGCAAAAGAGTAAGCCAACAGGACCAGAAGAGAGAGGAGGAGGAGGAGGAGGAGCAGCAAATATAAATAGTAAAGGACAAGCCAGGGTTAGAGGTAAGACGGCAGCAGCTTGGTTTGTTATACAGACTGGTAACCAGTGCGACTCTTACGCCGGCCAATCAGGTAAGAGATAAGAACTAGGATGATTAGGAAGCTGAGAGCCACACCCACAGCAATGGGCACGAGAAATCTCAAATCAGAATCCAGAAAGCATTCCTCCACTGGGAGAAAGGGAGAAAGAAAGGGAGGGTGAGTGAGTGAGTGAGTGAATGCGGAAATAACATGGTACTGTTAGATTTTGTTAATCACAACAGGACTCCCAATTCAGTCAGATCGATGGAGAATAGGCACTGTATTATGCGCCATACAGGCCTACCTTATAATCACCACATTACATAATGTATTAATATTTGAAATACGAGTAGTTTCAAAAGAATTTGTGTACATAAACCGAAATGACTTGATCTCTGAAATACTGCTAGATTAGATAGAACTTGCATATTCTCCGATTAATATTACGAATCAAACTGCTCATAGCCAGAGGTCTGACTTCTCTTTCTTCCAATCAGATAGGCCAGTAAGACAATAACAATGAGGACAGCCAGGGCAACTCCCACCGCTATAGGGACAATGAAGTTATCAGGCTCATCCGCGATGCAATCCTCAGCTGAAAATGAAGAGAACGAATGAGGGCAAACAAACAAACCAAAAGAAACAGCAAGAATGTGTCAAACTGCAGTTGAAACCTATCGGAAACAAATCTTTTGACATTTGCATGGCAGTTTTTGAGTAAGACTGAAAAGATGGCTCACACCGCTTTTAATGTTATACACAATTGTCTTTCTCCATTTATTGCAGCTAAAAGCCCATTAAAACAAAGCCATTCCATTGCAAAAAACGAAACAACCAAATCTCATGAAACATCAAATGTTTAGGGCAGTCAGATAAGGAATCCCTTTTCACAAGTATGCAAGCAGAAAACTGTCACACAAGTATGCTCAGAGGAAGAAAAAAAAAAAATCCATCTTTATTTTACAAGTAATTGATGTAACTGATTGGATGGCAAGCAAAAGTGACTGCATTAAGCAAGGCACAAAATTATTAGTGACCAGTTTTGAAGGTTTCATTTGTCCCGGCTATGGTGAAAACAAACATTTACAAAAGATTCTGTGTGGATGCTGCATAGACTAAATTAGAATATTGCATAAACAGTGAAAAATTCACTGGAAATGAAGGGAAAGAAAGAAAGAAAAAAAAAACCTAGAGAGCCATATGTGATAAGAACATAAAGACATAAGAGAAAGCAAATAACTTATTCTGAAAAGGCTCAGCAACTGAAAACACAAGTCATGTTAAATGTAACAAAAAACAAAACAAAAAAAAATGCACAGCCACTACCAAAGACAATTCAAACAGGTGCAAAAATTCATCTTGCAGCAAATACAATTCACAGTTAGCAAAAAGTATAACGTATCTTTCAGGCTAGAATAATTCAAAATTGTGAAGAGTAGCTGACAAGATGGCGGATTTATAATTAATTGTCCCTTTTCAAACCCCAGTAAAGGGTAAGCAAACATCACCAAAACTATTTTGTAACAGCATTTAAATGCCAGTTAGCATTTCTTTGTATTATGCTTTACTAAGTGTCACTCAACTACACCAGGCCTACATTTATTACAATGTTCTGCATTTTTAAAATGCTTGTCATGCATTTTAAACATTCAAGCATTTGTTTTCCTGTTCTAGAATTTCAAATTGTTTAAACTTCCGTCCAGCATGTTTAAATGTTTTGACCCTCACAGCTGCTCTGAATACAGGACAACCAACATGATGCAAAAGCACCTGATTTCAATAAATGTTAGCTGTCCAGACAATATAGTGCAAAGTAACAACCTGTTTCTGGAATTACTTTTAATATTTAACTCAAAAGCTGCAAGACAGGTGAATATAAAGTGGTTTCAGTTTAAAGCTGTCGATACAGTTATGATAGATTTGATGGGCACAAATTAACAGAGCTAAATTAAATTACAAAATGGAAAAAAAAGAAAAGAAATGTCTAAAGAAGCAAGTGCAGGGTCTAATATGGAGCATTGAAATTTTTAATTGGCCATGACCCAAGATCTATGAAACTGTGTTGTTCTTACATATAGAATATTTTCAACAAAATAGCAATGCACTGTGACTATAGCAGTAATTTGCATTTTAAGAAATGAAACAAGTGGGGCTTTAAGCCAAAACACAGAGACCATGGGGGGGGGGGGGGGG